GATAGATAGATAGATAGATAGATAGATAGATAGATGGTTGGATGGTTGGATGGATGGATAGATAGTTTTCAAGGACATATCCCAATCAAGAGAGAGTTAAGTAATTTTGCAGTTTGTGCATATTTTACACAGAAATGTCCCATCTCATATCCTGGGTAAATGTTAGTTTTGTGGGCATGATAATTTAAAACTGGCCCTGTGTTGAAACAGCTGGGACCAATAGACCTCTGACCCTCCACTGGATCGCTGTGGGCTGCTGTTCCTGTCGTCTCTCCTTCACATATGAATTAGATGTTTATTAATACTGTTTACAAAGGGAATGCTGTTTTTTATTGAGCTTATAATGGAACGTGACTGCAATCAGAGAAACCCTGGTGCGAAGCGTGACGGTACGTTCAGTATCACTACTGTGCCATTTGTAAATTGACGATTCTACAGTGTTTAAGCCAGAAGATGTTTGTTGTTTCTGGTTTTGTAATTACACACCAGCACAGATCACACCAGCACAGATGACGCAATCGCAAAACAGAGCTGAAAATGACAATAAATCAGTAGAACGTGATGTCTTTGGCATGACGGGCTTGTTGATATTTCCCTTTGCTGACCGTTTAGCGGAACAAGCCTAGGGAACCACATAGGAAAACCAAATGCTGTTTTTCTTTCCGTTTTCACACTAACAATGCGAGTGTTATAATGTGCTGACTATAAGGCCCTCCTGCTGTTTCATCTGCGAGAGGGAGGCAGTGCTTGCGCAAGAAAACTAACGTTCGTCATTACCGAAGACATTCCACCCCCTAAGGCTAAACACAAACCATACATATTCATGTAGAAGCGTAACTAGATGCAGATTATGAGACAATAACAAGCCGTAGGTGTCTGTTTTATGTTTTATTCTCACTTTTATTGCAAATATAATACAAAAGATGAGCTTCTTCAAAGGCAGTAAAATGTTAAACTTTTTAAAGACAAAAAACTTGTTCAGTCTTGTGTAAAAAAGATACCAACATCAGTTCTGAGATGGCTGATATTGAGTATAGCACAAAATCGGAAAGGGAAATGTATAAGCAAACAAAGATGCCAACTAACTAACTACTTAAAAACAACTACAGCTTCAAATTAGAGCATCGTAAAACTTTCCAAACGAAAGACTACTCTTCCAGTTATTTTAGAAACTGCAACAGTATTTTGTGCATTACAACTGGTTAGAAATAAGGACAAATAAACATTTAAAATAGAAAAATCTACATACGATAAATAAACATGATGAATACAGAATTTTATCATATTAAGTACCAGCCCTCTGTCTAAATGGAACCGTTGGGTTATATGTCACCAATATCAGAAGAGCAAAATAACAATTCATTTTTTTCGTATAAAGTATTAAAGAATAAAATGCAAATAATTTCTTTGAAATAAAATTAATACTAATAAATAAATTAAAGGGGTTAAGATGGGATACAGAAGGAGGGGCTGTAAGATGACACCTGCACGACTGCAGGCAGCTAATGACAAGCAGAGGTCAAAGGGCACTTCCTGGAGCTGCGACACATGCTGTTAGACACTCAGTAAATTCTCAGCTGCCGCTGCCACGTAGATATTCCCGCTAATTCGCTTCCAACATTTGACAGGCACTGATGCTGGTTGGGGATAAAAGCGTGAATGAGAGCTGGTTAAAAAAAAACACGGTTGGATAGGAATGATATTTTACAGGAACATAAATAAAGGGCACAGAGTCAAACTATCAAACATAAAATGCACCGCATAAGGACTAGGGTGTTACTGATGGAAAAGACAAGGAATGACTACCAAGAGTGGTTTAGTAAAAATAGACTTTTCTACAAGAAACACAGAAGGCCGGAAATACATAAAAAGAACATGTTAAGAAAACATACACAGTACATATTAAAGTATCAATAATCAATAAGTCCTCACAGAGGAATCATTTCTCAAAAATGTTTCTTTTCTTGCAAACAAGGCTAAAAATATATATATATATATATATTCTAATCACAATTTCAGGCGATTAAAAGGCACGTCGGGAGCCGTTTTGTTTTTTTCTTGAAGTCCAGCTTTCTTTCCTACATTTCATTGTTTCGTGTGTGTGTGTGTGTGTGTGCGTGTGTGTATGTGTATGTGCGTGTGTGTACGCGTGTGTGCGTGTGTGTGTGTGTGTGTGGGCAATTCAAGTGTGTGTTAAAGAGAGTGGATCCCAGGTGAAAAAAAAGTGCACTTCCATAATATACTTAAAGTGCTCTATTTCCACGCACTAATTTTGTACTTTAGTACTTCTTAAGATAAACTTAAGATGCATACTCAACTGTGCTATTTTGGGACACCATGAATATTAACTTAAATGCACTTTTAACATACCATCTCTGTATTTAAAAAAATTTATTTAGTTACTTCTAGAACCATCTTTTTAAACACTAGTACATTCAAGTGTACTACAAACGGTGACTAAATAAATTTTTTAAATACAGAGATGGTATGTTAAAAGCGCATTTTAGTTTATATTCATGGTGTCCCAAAATAGCACAGTTGAGTACACACCTTAAGTTTAGTGCGTGACAATAGAGCACTTTAAGTACATTATGAAAGTGTACTTTTTTCACTTGCGGAATGATGCGGAACGAGTCCCATCTGCTCAGGGTCTGGAGAGTTGTGTGTAGACCGGCTGCTGGTCCCAATGCTGGGGACTGTGGTTGGGTTGGGGAATGGAAGGAACCCCTGCAGTGTCAGCGATGGGTGTGTATATGGGCCTCATGTAGCTGAAGGTGGAGTAC